TTTTCGCGTGACCTTGGATCGGGTAAGGATCGTCACCCCGATTCGGGCACCCGTGACCCCAAAAATCGGGCTCACGCTATACACATTATACGCACTATACGTACTGTACGTACTGTTCGTACTATCAATAATTAAATATATCAAATTTTTATTATGTTTTTTAACTTTTTTTCCTAAAATGATTAACTAATTTTTTAAACATATAAACTAATTTAAAAATAATGTGTTGAATTTTATAAGTGATGTCTCTGATAAAAACACCAAATTTACTATTGTATCTAGCATGTAATTTTAAAGTTTCATTTCTAGATATTAAAGTGGCTTCAGATCCATATAATCTCATTTCTTTTTCGTACCTTTCAATGCAACTTCTCCAATTATCATTTTCTATCTCACCCCATCTAAGTAGAGACTGTGATAATTTATATGCATCTTTCATTGCAATGTTTGTCCCTAAACCAGGCCAAGGACTCATCGCATGTATTGAATCACCCAATAAAGTAATTCTTGTGGTAGGCCATTTTTCAATTGAGCATGGATCAATAACTCTCAATGGTCGTCTTCTAGGTTTATGATATGTATTAAATGGATGATATATAGTTGAATCATCCGTTGTAGGAACCAATGACCAAAGCTCTACCATTAGATCTGTCAACTCATTATTTGGACGATATTTTCTTAATTTCTCCTTAACATTGTTTATAATATCTTTTGGTTCTTCTTCATCGGGAAATTTCAATTCAGGTGATTCGTCATCTCTATATGTAAGTTTGTCAATTTCATCTTCAGGTAAAGAGTTATAACTATATGAAATAGTTAATCTATAATGGGTGTTATCATCATTCTTATTTGGCAGATTTGTTTTGGATTGAATTGGTAAATATCTCATCTGATACATAATTAAATCCCCCTTCGTTCCCAACAAAAGTTTACATAAACTATTTCCACTAATTGAAAATAATCTATCAATTTGTTTTTTAGTGGGTGCTATATCCGATATAACTACAGTAAGTCCTAAATTATCAATTTTTAAATTTGGCAATTTTTGTTTTCGAATATTTGAATGGATTCCATCACATCCAACCAAAATGTCACCAAATTCTTTTGTTCCATCTTCAAATAAAGCCCAAACCCCTTGTTCTACTTCTTCATACCCAATACATTTTTTGCCCCAAGTAACATCAATTCCTTCCAATAAAACATCCCTAATTCTATCTCTATAACTAATAACAGGTGTTGTGGGTTCATCTTTTATTTCAGAGAACTCAAATAGGTTCTTAATTTGTAGATTTGGTGATGCGAATAATAATTTACCACATTGATTCACTATTGAAAACGTTTTGTCTTCTAACTGTTGTATCGGATCTGGTATTGCAAATTCTCGAAGTCTTGAATGTAAATGCTTTGGTGTACAATTCAATAAAGATCGAACTCCTGTCGGTTGTAACGTTATATGATAACCTTGCCATCTGTCTATAAATTAATAAAATATCATATACATATTTATCTATAACTTATAACATTTGACATAAAAAAAAATATTTACCTGTCGGTGATGAATCTCTTTCAAAAACTTTTACTTTAAAATTTTTCCCTTTTTCTTCATTGTGTTTCAATAAAGAATGGGCTAGACATAATCCACCTGGCCCTGCTCCAATAATAAGTATTGTTTTATATTGTTCATCGATATCTTCTGTTGTCATTATTATAGTAACATTAATTTTTGTCGTCGAAAAAAAAATAGATTTAAATCCGTTTTAAATAAACCGAAGTTGAGATTAATACAACTCCGGATTTTACAGAAAAATTGACCAAAATAGTATCATAAATGCAACCAATTGCATAAGGGACCGGTTTTCTAATTACATATTGTAACAGGCCCTCCCAATTCTAAGTTTTCACTAAGCCACTAGATCTGGGGCCCTTTATTAATGATCGACATGCTATTTTTGAGCTCTTATAATATAGCCTCTCGTTGAATACTATAAGTGTAGTTCATAGTCATGTAAACAATTGCCGTCAGCTATAGTCATATAATTAACTAGATAGCAGCGCGACGTCATCGCGCAAAAACAGTAACAAAAACATTAAAAAAAAAACAGCCAAGTATTAACTGATTTACTAGACAAAATCATATATGAGTGTATTGGATTCCATATTAATATAGATTCTTACAACAAACAACAACCGCTGTTCACATGATGCAAGACCTACTCACAAACTTTTACAATATAGATATTATTAGGAACTACTTATATCATAGTTCTAAATTAAGGATGAACGTCAAAGCCAGGATTAGTAGTTGGGATATTGTTTTATAAAGATATCAAGAACGCAATTTATGCATTTCATAAATCATTATGTAAACGAACCTGGCTTTAACGGACCCTCAATTAGTATTAATGGTTGCACTTCTGCGCCTAACCTGATTGTTTCCGGATATTCTTGCCTAGCTATATTAGCCTAAAGAAATATTATCAGGTAATCGCTTCATTTGGAAATGATGATAACTGTACCTACGAGGGAAATCCGGTTAGAGCCGTTGCGTAACAATCGTCGAAAACGTGACCGAAAACGTGACCGGAATCGCAGGTTGGATCGTGACCCAAAACCAGCGATCGTGTAACCCGATTTCTCCCCATTGTATGCAAGAGAAGCCCCAAGATTCG